TATCCAGCTTCTCATCCACTGTAATCCCCAGGTCCTTTTCTGAAGTTAGTCCCCAGCCTGTAACAGTGCTTCGGATTCTTCCATCCCAAGTGCAGGACTCTGCACTTGTCCTTGTTGAACCTCATCACATTTCTTTTGGCCCAGTCATCCAATTTGTCTAGGTCACTCTGGACCTTATCCCTACCCTCCAGCATATCTACCTCTCCCCGTCTTAGTGTCATCCTCAAATTTGCGGATAGTGCAATCCATCGCCTCATCCAGGATACTAATAAAGATGTTGAACAAAATCGGCCCCAGAACCAATCCTTGGGGCACTCTGCTTGAAACCGACCACCAACCAGACATTGAGCCTTTGATCACAACCCATTGAGCTCGACAATCTAGCCAGCTTTCTATCCACCTTACAGTCCATTTGTCCAAACCATACTTCTTTAACTTGCTGGCAAGAATTATGTCCACAGAGCCAGTTATCTCGTCAGAGAAAGCAATCAGGTTGGTCAGGCATGAATTGCCCTTGGTGAATCCATGTTGACTATTCCTGATCACTTTCCTCTCTTCCTAGTGCTTCAGAATGGATTCCTTGAGGATTCCCTCCATGATTTTTCCAGGGACTGAGGTGAGACTGACTGGTCTGTACTTCCCTGGATTGTCGTCGTTCTGGGTATGTCTGCACTACCACACTAGTTTGAACTAGGGTGGTTAATGTAGTCAGTCGAAGTTGCAAATGAAGCCCGGGATTTAAATATCCTGGGCTTCATTTGCATCTTGCCGGGTGCCGCCATTTTTAAATCCCCGTTAGTGCGGACTCCGTGCCCGCGGCTACACGCGGCACGGAGTAGGTAGTTCGAATTAGGCTTTTTAATTTGAACTACTGGTACGTCTTTCTGTGCAGATGAAGATAAAATCTGATTAGAAGATTGCAGATCACATGACAGGTTGAGCCTAGTGGATAATGATCCATATTTTTATGTCCATGCAAGACTCTACTAATATGGGCTTTTGAAGAATACTATCCTGATATCTATTAGAAAAGTAAAAGAAGATGGGTCCTTTGGGACACATGGTCTTTAAATATTTTGCAGACTTTTTAGCTTTCTTTTCTTTCTGCTTGAATACATTCATCCTGTATCCTACAAAATGGATTCAGAGTGAAAAGCTGATAATGGAAAGGTGTAATAAATTACAGGTTAGTCAGCATCTGTCAGGAATTGTCTCTAGATAATCATAGAAAAGAGACCTTCTTTGGTCGTCTAGTCCATGCTTCTGTAGGTATTAGCTACTAGTCCATCTCTGGTAGGTGTTTGGCTAACCTGTTCTTAACCTTCAATGGCAGAGAATTTGTTCCCATGCTCAACTACCCCTATAGTTAAGAAGTTTTTCCTAAGATTTACTAATGTCTAACCCAAATCTCCCTTGCTACAATTTAAGCCCATTACTTCTTTGTCCTGTCCTCGGTGGTTAAGGAGAACAATTTATCAACCGTTTCATTACAAAAGCCTTGTACGTACTTGAAGATTATTATATGTCTCCCTCCCATCCTTCTCTTTTCCAAATTACACACACTCCATTTTTTCAGTCTTATTTCATAGGTCATGTTTTCTGATCTTTATTCATTTTAGTTGCTGTCTTTGGACTTTCACTACTTTGTCCACATCTTTCCGAAAGTGTGATGGCCATAAATGGACACAGTACTCTAATTGATGCCTTCTCAGCGCTGAGTAGAGTGGAATGTTTTCTTCTGATGTCTAGCTTACAACACTCCTATTAATACATTCCCAAATAATGTTTGCTTTTTTTGCAACTAGATTACATTGTTGACTCATATTTAGTTTTGATCAGCTATAATCTCCAGATCCTTTTCTGCAGTACTCCTATATAGACAGTCATCTCCAATTTTGTATTTCTGCAATTGGATATTCCTTCCTCAATACAGTCATTTGCATTTGTCCTTGTTGAGTTTCATCATGTTTATTCCAGACCATTTCTCCAGTTTGTCAAGATAATTTTTAATTCTTATTCTATCCTCTGAAATGCTTTCAGCCCCTCCCAGTTGGAAACCATCCACAAACTTGATCAGTGCACTCTTCGTGCCGTTATCCAAATCATTTATAAAGATACTAAAGAACTGACCCAGGATATATCCCTGCGGGACCCTCACTTGATATGCACTTCCAGCTTGATTATGAACTACTTGTAACTAATCTCCTTGTATGCTTTTCTAGCCAGTTATACACCTGCCTTCTTAAGAGTCGTAAGACATTCATAGATTCCTTCAGGAAATTCTTTTAAGTTGAATGACAAACGTATTCCTAATTGCAAAACTGACACCATGAATGTGCCTGAAGATTTTCATTTTAAAAAAAAGTTTAGCCTCCACTTTCTTCTCTCAGTAGAACTTCATCTGAGCAATCTGTCTCACTCAGGGCAGTGACACTGTTGTTATATCTTGCAAGTTCCCTGGCAACATAGCATTTCTTCTTTCCAGACATACATTATATTGTTGTTCATCTGGGTGTGAACATTTCATGTAGTAAAAGTCATTATCTCGTCCACAGGCAGACTGGTCCCATTGAACATGATAATCCAGCCAAAAGTGTATTAGGGATGTTAAATTGTGTTTAATCAGCTAATCGAGTAGTCGATGGAATTTTGATAAGAGAGAAACTGCAGAGCCACAGCTGGGTTAGCTCCCAACTCCAGGAGCTAACCCCACTTCAGCTCTGCTTTTTAAATGTATTAAGAGCTGCTATCTCTAAATGTATTAAGAGCTGTCCCGACTTGCGCCTGGTCCCAGATGCTGCGATTTCCCCCTTATCCACCAGGCTCTTAATACATTTAAAAAGCAGAGGTGCAGCAGAAAGGAATGAGCACGAGCTGGGAATCAGCTGTCCTACCTCGTGCCCAGTCGCAGCACCAGCTCCTGGTGCTTATCAGGTAGTCGACTAGACCCGTACATCCCTAGATTGTATTTGAGAGCCTAGATTTAGGGCACCTTTTCTAGCCCTCTCCTCATGTAGGGTGAGCAGAGGAGAGCCTGAAAAGGACTGCTCAGTCACAATAGTGGTTGCTGAACTGCATCCCTGTCTCTATACAGAATTAAGATGACCAACCAGCTACCAATGCCTAAATGTAGATTAGTGACTAGGATAGTCAGATTCACTATAACTTATGATTGTTTGTCTTGAGTTTATTAACAACCAGTCTGCTGTTGTCATCATTGTGTATGCCCCAATGCTTGAGTCCATTGAGGATATTAAGGAAATGTTTTACATAGATCTTTACAGAGTCTTGACTGGGGCAGGCAAGATCCAGCCCACCAAGCTTTTGAATGCAGCCTGTGGCCTACAGCAGGGAACAGCTCCAAGCTGCTCAAAGCAGCTGGCTGCTCCATGTGCTTCTCTGCACCACTCACTGGGGGAGAGGCATCACACGTTGCCCCTTCCCCAGCACAATCTCTCAGCTCCAATTGGCTTAGACAGATCATTGCAGGGACCAGAGTGAACCAGTGGCAATGGCAGGGAAATAATTACATGATTAAGATATACCCAGATAATCCTGACTAGTTACTCTCACCCTCACACTGCAAAAGAAGGTGAAAACCTGCCTAAAGTCACTGATAATCTGATTTAGGAGAAAATTCCTTCCTAACTCATATGTAGTGATCTTGAGCGTGTAAGCAAGAACCAGCCGGCCCAAGGACCTGCAAGAGAGAATTCTCAGAGCTCTGCGCCCTCCCTGTCCAACATCCCACTCCAGGTGTAGTCATATCTGATGCTTCAGAAGAAGGAGATTAAAAAAAGCCTACCACCCTTACAGAATACATTGGGGAAAGGGAGAGAATCACTTTTTGTCCTCTGCAGCATTGTAATTTGTTTGTAGTAGCTGAAAACGATATCAACATTCTGCTTGATTATTTTTTTCCATAACAATTACAAGTTATGGTTGGCATTTTCCCCCCTCAAAGAAGATTCCTATAATTGTCTTTACCTTCTCATACTCAGTTGAGATGTGAGACATTTTTTCTCAGTGCCTTCCAAGATGAAGCACAAGTCCTTCATAGGAATCTTTGTCCTTGTTGGTCTGGAAATGCAATACCAAACATGAATTACAAACTCCAGTTCCCCCACACATGCTAATACTTCTGAGCTACTGATATCCCACAGAGTTAATAATTTTGTTCTTAGCATACAGAACCTAGCAGTTTCTAATCTGCATGAAAATCTATTTTATACATTTTACATCTTCCAATGCAAACTATTTTCTTTAATCTGCAAATAGCAAAGTGATTGTTGTGGACAGAGTGTTGTACTTATGAATCAGTGTCTTCAGAAATCACCTTACTTAACAGTATCTTCAATATCAGATACATATTAGATACCCTCTATTTTGAGTGAAATATTAAGAACAGATTAAAATTGTGAGTAAAATGTTTCACTGGTAGTTCAGGATGGGAATGGGTGAATGTTCAAATTGGAAAATTATGCAGACTTCAGGACATTTTAAAATTCTTTTAACAATCTAATATGCTATTACACTTGAACTGTTTTATTAATCCAGCAACCCTGGGAAACAGGGTGTGCCAGATTAAAGATTTTGCTGGCCCAAGGAAGACACTGTGGGGTCTGGATTATGGGGGATGGGAGTGAAGTGCTTACCAGGACCCCACTCCTGGGGACACTTGTGGCTCTGCGCTCCCGCTGCTCTCAGGCAGCACTCTATGCTACTATGGGAGCAGCAGGGAGGAGCCAAAGGGGCAGTGTGCAGAGCCACTTCCTCCATACCATGGATGTTCCTGTATTAGAGACATCTGGAGTACCAAGTGTTGTATTAGAAACAAAGGTGAAGATACCTGTCACTTCAAATTATCGTAATTGTCAGCTAATGATTTTGATATCTCCCAAGTTTTTAAGAAACTTAATGAAGTGCTACACTAGAAAATGTTTATAGACAATGAAAAACATGCCATGGATACTATTTGCTCTAATTCTTATTCGTACTAGCAAAAACCCGTGCTGCAGACTTATTGGTGAATCCTCTGGATCCAAGAAATGCAGATAAAATTAGAGTTAAAATTGCTGACCTGGGAAATGCTTGCTGGGTGGTAAGTATAAAAATCTTATTTTAATTATTTAGCCTTCATTATTCAGAACAAGACTTTTTATTGTTCAGTTTCTTTCCATTAATGCTGTTCTTTCCATTTTAGCATAAACACTTTACCGAAGACATCCAGACAAGACAATATAGATCCATAGAGGTTTTAATAGGAGCAGGTTACAGTACCCCTGCTGATATCTGGAGTACAGCCTGTATGGTAAGAACAAGAATATGCTGTTATTTTATTATGTCAGTCAATCTTTATTTTACCAAATAAAATCCATTTAGAACAATTGCTTATTTACAGTGGGGTCCTGGCTAAGATGGTTCTTATTATAAATTACGTAAACACAGGAACAATGCTGTAGCTGAGATGATAAACATATTTTCACTGTAAGTTTGATTTCCCCCCCCCCCACACACACATCATCGTTTCCAATATCCTGCCATAACTGCCTCAGTTTCTTTTCACTGCCCATGGCTAGAGTTGGAGCTGCGTGTGTTGTCTTTACCTCACACTTTCAGGTTTCTGAGAAATTTTCTTGTATAGATTTAGTTTAAGTGTTAGTTTATTATTAGTAGATTAGATGACTACAGGGCTGGCAACATTCTTCAACGGGCCCTGGGCAATCTGCAGGGGAGGCTTGGCTCCTGGTCTACCAGAAGGGGTGGGGCATCAGGTGGAAGGGGAACAGCTTGGAGCAGCTAGGCTGGAGCAGCCAGGCCTGAGCACCCCCTAGACAATGCTTTTAAATTTCTGGGCTCAGGGCAAGCGCCCCTATTCTGTCTCCTCCCCAATTGGCAGCCCTGTTTGTTCCCCTGACAAGGGCCTGAGCATTGTCCTTTATGTATGGGAGCTTGATTCTCGATGAAGAAAACATTAGAGAGAGGTGCTTCATCTGCAAGTTATTGACAAAGAGGACTCAGGTGGTGAGAGTCTTTTGGCTAAAGCAGAACATTCTGGAGCAGGGCAGGAGGCCCCTTTGGCACAAAGGCCCTCATCTTATCAGTGGTTGCCCACAGAGGTGGCAAATGATGCAATCCTGGTGCTTCTCCCATGAGGAAAAGGTTGTTCGCCCTCTTCTGGTGCAGCAAAGAAGAGATCCCATAAAAAGAGCTTGGAACCATTCCAGGTCTCAGAGGTACTATTCCACCTTTAGGAGGGGCATTGACCAACTTTCAACTTATTTTGGCGTGTGGGATGGAGCAGGTCTATCCAACTGCTACAGTCTGTGCTGTTGACTTCTGGCTCTGGCCATGTGGCATCTGTTCAGTCCAGTACCAACAACATTGGCATCATTACTGACCATCTCCATGCCAACAACATACCAAGTGATAGCAGACGTTCTTTGCCTCTCAATTCCAGACTCTCTGCTTGTTCAATTCTCTGGTGCTTTGTCTAGCAGCTTGTCTTCTGTCCTTGGCACCTTCTTACTGTGTCAAATTACTGTTGGGTCCCTCAACACCACAGCTCTCACTGCCTCAGCTTCAGGCTATGGAGTCGAGGCCAAGCCAGGCTTGCATGCACTCCTCCTCTGCCCTCTCTCCTCAGCATCTGGAAGAAAGATGAATGCATGCAAGCTGTGTACTTTCCCCTCGCACCCTGATAGGAGAATGGGAAGAAGAGCAAACAGTGTCCCAATATGCGTGGCTGCAGCCCCTGCTGCCTTTCTGAAATGGCACCTTTGCCCCATCCCTACATGAACAGCCCACAGTACAGTTTCCCTACCTAGATGTGGTCCTCGGGTCAAAAAGTTTGCCTACCCCTGTTTTGGGGCTTCATGCTATCTATAATGCCTGTCAGACCTTTCAGGATCACATCAAGAGTGCAACATTTCTCATACTCTCCGGCAATACCACCACTTTTTAAAGTGTGGGCTATCCTGACAATCAGTGTTCTCTGTAAGCTGTGCACTTGGCGGTCATCCAAAAGAGATTCTGATGCTGTCCAGCTGATTAACAGAGGGTACAGCTACATAGCAACATTATTTCAAAATAACTAGTTATTTCAAAATAACTTAGCTGCATCTACACAGCAGGCAGTTATTTCAAAATAAAGTCAAAATATTGTCAAGCTGGAGGACTTTATTCCAACTCCTGTAACCCTCATTGTAGGAGGAGTAAGGGCAGTCACAGGAAAAGTTCTCTATTTTGAAATAAGTAGCTGTGTAAATGCTCCCAATTTTGAAATAAGCTTTTTTGAAATAAGCTACACAATTGACATAGCTCAATTTGTGTAGCTTATTTGAGATAATCCCTGTGTAGATGCACCCAGAGTGCCCATAGCTGGCAGCATGTGTTTTTACTGGTGGTGCGCATGCTTCAGTGCGCATAAAATTTATTCTGCACATGGTTGAAAAAAATTAGAGGGAACATTGCTGACGATCAACCTATTTGACATGAGAGAAAATAAAAAATGCCATCTCTTCTGTTCCTGAGGTCATCTCAGTCCAGATTTCTTGATCAATTCTTTCTACCTGAGCTGGGAGTCTCACTTCTGTATGCCTTTCCTCTAATTCTAGTCATCTGACAAGTAATTTTCTAGCTAACATTGGACCATGTCAGGCTCATTCTGATTGCTCCAGCATGGCCCAGACAGTGTTCATTCTCCTGCATCCTCACATCATCATTTTAGTCTCCCATATTCCTCCTTCATCCTGAGCTCCTGACTCAGAATCCCAGTCAAGTTTTGCATCCATCACTCAGATTTCTGTATCTGTATGTGAGCACTGCATGATTCAGTGAGGAAAAGGAATGATGTTCAGTGGTGGCACAGCAGCTCTTGCATAATAGTTGGAAGCCCTTAACCAGATTGGCCTATTCAGCCAAATAGAAGCTTCACTCAATATGATCATTAGCCCCGGGAGTTCAGTCAACACTGGTTTGTATCCAGGACATCTTGGAGTACTTGTTACAATTTCAGTCTTCTGGTTTTCTACTTAGGCCAGGTTAACATTGGCAGAGAAAATTGATGCAAGATACACAACTCCAGCTATGTGAATTGCGTAGCTGGAGTGAAGCTCCTTGCATCGATTTTCTGGGGTGGATGTGGGGTGTGGCAGAGGGTTACCTTTTACACTGAGTTTGTAAGCATGGAAGATGAAAAGGATAGTGGAGCATTCATGTTGAAAAAATGAGTATTTTAAAAACCGCAGCGATTAGAATCTTAGTAAATCTAGTGTTTGGAGTAGTCATGGTAGTATTAGCCAATCATAGTTAAAATTGCAACTCAGTTTCCGGTGATTTTGATGTCTACTTTAAAAGATACAGAGTATAAATGCTCCATCCAAATTGGTTTGTTGTCTTTGTGGCAAAAAGTGGATTTTTTTCAGATAAATTGACTGTGAATTGGACCAACATATCCTGGAATTACAAGATCTGCAAATAGAAGTATTCACCAGCATTTCAAAAAAGAAAGAAAGAAAAAAAAAAGTAAAGGACAGAAATCAAACTTCGTTGTTTCTTGGGGTCATATCAGTTAGATTATCTATGAATGGTAGAGTTCAGAGAATTTATACATTAAATATGTATTTCAAATACCTAGGTTCTTGTAAATTTATCTTACCTGTTAATTCCTTTCTTTTTAATTGTTGTTCTCTCTAGGTACTGTCTAGATCCACTCTGTGCTATTTCACCTTAACATATTTTTGGTCTATAAATATTCTTTTTTCTTTACTTTAAAGAGTTCAGGTTTGTAGGTGCAACCTATCTAGCTAACTTTGTCATTAGCTTGCTAGTGACTTGTCAGACTGCTATCCAGCTTACAAGGCCCACAAGCTTTAAGTGCAGTTATTTGCTACTGTGGGCTTCTTGTACCTTATACATTCCAAACTCTGTAGGCATCAACTTTGGATCCTTTAAATTGTCAGGTATGAAGTGGTTCAAGGAATTTAAAAGCTCTCCCAGCTCTCTGCATTTGAACACTTTGCAAGTTTTATGAATCAAAACAACTCCTGTGTGAAACATTTACAGCTCTGCTTGTCTACTTGGTGCTCTAACTGTTGGTGTGAGAGCCATATCCTGAGAGGTTCTGATTATGTGCAACTTCCACTGAATCTAGTGGGAGTTGTGGGTACTCAGCAGCTTGCAGGAAGAAACCATAGATAACATACAGAAAAGAGGAGAGAAGACAATGGAAATAACATGAAAATAAGCTTTTTTTGATTGAGCGGGTTAGGTGTATGCTTTCTGTAAGTTCCAAAATGTTTAAAAAAATGTTTACATAATATAAGGAAAAGACTGTGTATCTCATACTTTATATATCAAGAGGTGGAAAGTTAGTTGTAGAAGGGAAACTGATAAAAATAAGTTTTAGAAAGGATTAAAAGGAAAAAAGTAAAGAAGCTTTAATAGCAGGAGAAAGAAGAATAAGAGTCTGGACGTGTGTTCTGGTGAACAGCAGAAATGGTCTGGTGCTTTCCTTAAATGTTTATATTCATCTTCCTCTCCCCATCATACTGTACATTACAATCTAGCAAGCTTCATTCACTTCACTATGAACGTTTTAAATCAAGTAGGTTGTTTAGAACACATTATTAGGTTTCGTACAAATAACTGATAATTTGCCTTTTCTCAAGGGTGCATTTTCTATTCAAAAGAAACCAGAATAAAATCATAATACCTGTCAATAATATCATCAGCACACTATATTTCATAGTTGCATATTGGCATCAGTGAAATTGGGTCTGGGGCAGTGCGGCAACCCAGGAGGGAAGCCAGGGCCACACGACAGCCTAGCAGAGTTGGCAGGAGGATAACAGGCCAGAAGTGGATCTGGTGGTGAGCTAGGGGGCCAGTGGCAGAGTATCTCTCCTGGTCTGACTAATGCCCTGGTGCGGGACAAGTCATTAAAGTGCAAGGCTACTAGGGGAGCCTGATCATAGGAGAAACTCTTTCTGTTATGTTTCTGTGGGTATATGTTGGCACTCAGTAAAAGTGGCTTTCAGAGAGATTTGGATTACTGAAGAAAAACAGCACTATTGCATTTATAAACAACAACTTTTAGAAGTGAGCAATAGGAAACAAAACATAACTGTAGGATGGCAGGAGGAAACTTGTACTTGGCTTTTTTGCAGATCACATAGCATTGATCATTGAACTGCTGGGAAAAATCCCTCGAAAATACGCTATGTTGGGGAACCTGGGTAGTGGGAGGGATGTTTTTGTGGAGTGGACATCCTTCTAAAATGAGGGGAGAATTCTATTAAATAATTTTAT